CCCCCCCCCCCGCACCAAAATTTGGCGAAGTAGCAAGGAACGATTAGCCATCGGTGATCGGTCCTGTGGCAACAATGCTCCATTCTCTCGAGGACGTGTGGTCAACGGTCTAACGGCTAAGGCATGCAGGACATGTAGAGTACGCCCCGCACCAACATAGAGCACCCTCGACCACGACATTTTTTTTTTCGATCAACCTTGAATTACGCGCGTACTGTAGACGGCACAATGTTTGAGGACACAATTGACCTTTGGGGTCAGCCTAGGGTAGCCGGTTGATGGGACCGTCTACGCAGGATTTTAAGAGTATCTAGAAAAAGAATAGGGAGGGGGCACGCAGACCCTATGCCTAACTCTAACCCCAACCCCAAAGCACGGATTGAATACTTTATCCCATATGTTTGTTTAATCGATTTTGCTGCGTAGACTACTGGGTTGATGTTGGATAATATGATGCATGTTTCTCTTCATAACAGTGAACGTAACGCCACAAAAAGACGGGAACCGTTCGAGATCGTTTTCAAGAGGATATTTCATTACTGGAGTGTTGCGGCAATACAGCGAGAGAAGGGTAGAGTGGACGATGACACCCATTCTACTCTTTGCATAATACCTACTACATAGTAGCAACAGTTGTTTTTTTGTCACAGAAACCACGACATAACGAACTCGTCAAATCATCGATGAAGATTTTCGACGAATGAACGCAGTCTCGTCCACCCCGAACATCAACCTTTTATATCTATTTACAAAGTTTAAATGCTTCACAGAAGAAGCTCGAGCGCGTAAGTATCCCACCGAAGAGCGCCTACGTATTCAGATCGAGTGTCAGCCCATCCGCTTCTGCTAGAGTCAAGACTCGTCACAACAGGTTCACACAAGAGCCAGAGAGGTGCTGCATCACACTGCATCTAGTTCAGCCACCTAGTGATGTGGTTCCACACAGTCTTCCACGCGATTCCGCCAACCCATCGAGGACAATACAGGTTCTCCAGCGAACACTGTACCAGAAGAGCATGGGCGAGGATGTCGGATTTGATAACCAGCAACTCTGCCGGATGCTTGCTTACCCTCCGATCGGCGCCGAAGCGATGCCATGTACGATCCATCGCGGCATCGACCCTCTGCCCTTCAATCATCATCTTGCTGCGAACGTTCACCCGCACTGATGCTGGTCTTCACATGGTGTACTCCACGCGTCGTTTGTTCCTTGCCCCGTCGATAGCCGTCGCAGGTCCTACAGCTGTGTCCCACTCAATCACTCGCGAACAGCCCACATGAGGCGCCGTCAACTACGTAGTTGGTTGAATTTGGTTAAAGGAGGGTAGCCTCAGCGTCGCCTAAAACCAACTTTTCCAGTGGAGTCGGCCAACGCACCTGGTGGATTGGCTGGTTCAACTTTCCCGTGATGACGAGTTCTTTCAGTGATGTCGGCCACGAGACCTCACTGATGGGCTGATCAAAGCATTCGCCGAAGAACATTTTTTCCAGTGAAGTCGGCCAGCTGACCTGGTGAATTGGCTGGTTGAATTTTTCTTGGAACTGGACTTCTTTCAGCGATGCCGGCCACGAGACCTCGTTGATGGGTTGATCGAAGGAGTTGCCGAAAACCAATTTTTCCAGTGAAGTCGGCCAGCTGACCAGGTGAATAGGCTGGTTGAATTTTCCTAGGAACTGGAGTTCTTTCAGCGACGCCGGCCACGAGACCTCACTGATAGGCTGATCAAACAATAAGCCAATACGCATCCTTTCCAGTGAAGTCGGCCAGCTGACCAGATGAATTGGCTGGTTGAATGTTCCCAAGATCGCAAGTTGTTTCAGCGATGCCGGCCAGCTGACCTCATTGACTGGCTGGTCAAACATCAAGCCTAAACTAATCTTTTCCAGTGAAGTCGGCCAGCTAACCAGATGAATTGGCTGGTTGAATTTTCCTGAGAACACGAGTTTTTTCAGCGATCCTGACCAGCTGACCTCGTGAATTGGCTGATTGAAGCCAGACCCAAACTCAAGATGTCGCAACGACGCTGGCCACTTGACCCTTGTAATTGGCTGGTTAAAGCTTCCCGGGAACACGAGTTCTTCTAGCGATGACGGCCACGCGACCTCTTCAACCGGGTGGTTGAAGCATTTGCCGAAGTTGAGCTGTCGTAGTGACGCTGGCCAATCGACCCCTTCCACTGGCTGGTTGAAGTTCCACCCAAACACAATTCGTTCCAGCGATGTTGGCCAGACGATTGTCTTGATCGAGCGGTTGAACTTGTTGCCAAAGGTTATCTGCTTCAGGGATGCCGCCCACAAAACTTTGTCGACATGCTGGTAGCACCATCTGCCGAAGACCACGCTCTTTAAACCACGAGGTAGGGCGACCCCGTCAAAGCTGTCGCCACTGCGCTCGACTGCGTCGCTGAACGACATGCATTCTAGGTTTTTGAAAGCATCTTTACTTGCTTCGCTCAGCATCGAAGGTGGAAGGTTCCATGTCACCTCGCGGGGTCGAAAAGGAGGCACGCGCACAAGAACGCTCCGCCCGTCAGAACTTCCACCACTACTACTCCCGCGGGAGTCGCTCTGATCGCTCCAGGTGTCAGCCCAAAGATGCCTGGGCGTGCCTTCCTCCACAGTCAAGTGCAATGTAGAAACGCTTCGACAAGCCACGCAGAATTCCACCGATGCGAGCTGGAGTTGCACCGTCGAGATGTACCATTGCTTTCCGCCATACGTCTCGTTGAGGGCCACCATGAAGGCGCCAATGCACCGGCTGTTTCCTGCGACCAGAACATACATACACCGGCATATTTTTAATGTTTCGGGAAAGCATTTTTGTGAAATTAACCACACCGCTCCTCATGTAAGCTTCATATGGGAGCAAAAAGTTGCGCCAAAAGTTTTGAAACTTTTGCTTTGGATAACAATCGCGCCATCTGGAGAGAAAGTTCGCGAACTTTTCTCGCGACGAGGGTAAAGAACAAAAGTTATGCGGCGATACTTTCGCCAATCCACGTCAAGCATCTACCCTTACCACACACGTAGGCCCCTTCTGCAGCTTCGATTGGAATGGACCATGTTCGCCGATATCTCGACGAATACTAAACGAGTTGCCTCATGAATGGTATCTGGAAGGATGTGATGCCACGGGGTGTTCGGTAATGCCAAGGTTTGACGCCGTGAGGCGCCGAATGCGCCGGGAAAAAAGTGACGCCCGGGAGTGACTAGTTAAAAAGTTCGATGTTATTGACCGCCCCCGGTTTTATTTCCACCGGCAACTTTCCGGAGGAGGAAGCAACAGCAAATAGCAATGCCAATCGGCGGGAGGTAGCTATCTGCTCCATCTTTCATGCCCAAGGTTAGGCACGGTGGGGTATCGTCCGCGTCGGGAAAAAAGTTTCGGTTGGCCCTAAAAATACCCACGTCAGAAAGTGGTTCGTTCAAGTTTGCGGGGTTGGTGTGCTCAGGGTTTGGTGTTCCAGCGACAACTTTTCGAAGGAGGAAGCACCAGCAACAGCAGTTCCACTCCAAGGGAGGTAGTTCTACTCAGCTTCTTTCTGGTACCAGGTTAATTGCCTTGGAGTATCGTGCGTGTGGAGAAACAAGGTTAGAACTACCCTCTCCCGCACGCTCTGGCCGGTTTCTTCGCGGTGTGGTACGAAAGGGTGTGCCTGCTTCACCGTTGCTGAAAAAAAAAAACATGTCTCCGCATTCCACGTGAAGAGAACTTCCTGCACCCCTAGTGAGAGTGCAAGTTATTGACAAAAGTTAAAGTTCCCGACCAAACGTTGCAAAAAACTTGAAACTTTCTTCGCCGCAAAATTGTGCTCCCATAAAAAGCGGTTTACGCGGGCGAAGCCCGCGAATACGTGTTGAACGGAATATTGTGTGTGTACGTACGTACGTGATAACTCTCTTCTCCCCTGCTGTTCAAACACGCACAGGCCAGACAGAGGTCTGCTCGTTTTATCCTGTTGTGGGCGTGTGATATGCGCTAGTTGCACCTCCCTGTCGGTTGAAGCGGCGGCCTGAACTGACGGTTTCGAAAGCCGGTGTAATTGTCAAAACTACTCGAAAATAGACAAGACGCCAAATAGGCGCCAAGTTAAATACTTTATATGACACAAGATAACACACCCCCTTGACCGATTTTCGAAGCTCGATTTCTCAACTGCCGGAACAGTCACAGCGACGAAAACGGCGGCGTTGAAACCGTCTCGTCGAGAGCTTTTCGGAAATGTATCGTTTCGTTTATGCATCCTCTTCGTCGTGGAGTAATCGAGCTTTGAAAATCGGTCCAGGGGGTGTGTTATCTTGTGTCATATACGGTAGAGACAGCTGATTGGCCAAGTGAACTCTGTCCCGCCACCTTGTTTTGTTGCCCGCGGCGGAACCGGGGGGAACCAGGAACCAACACACACTACGGCCCTCCATTCTCTCTCCTAAAACATGTAAAACTTAGCAGTAGACTCCACATTTCTACTGTAGCTGAAATATCGAAGGTCGCAGCAGTCTCTGATAACAGCCCGAAACCTGTGCCGGAACCAAGCGGCATCCAACATTTGTCACAGGCGTGCTCACTGCCACGGACCGTAAACCCCTGATGGGAGGTTGTCAGCAGTAGCTAGTGGCAGCAGCTACTGCTGTAAACCCGCAGTTCAGGAGATTGGGGTCAGTGACGGCGAGCACAAGCAGTACAAGATACTGCGTGCCGGTCTAATTTGCGGAGATTTGCGGAGATTGTAGGCGACTACTATAAAAGTGCTGTACGACCCTCGATTTCGCCACCACAGAAGCAAATTTGAGCGCGCCAACGCGCACCCCCCACTGCCAAAGGATGTCATCTAGTGATGCACTTCAAAGTACTATGCCTCAGGTTCCTGGCAACACAGACCTTATTGCGTCTGCCTGCCGTTTTGGCTCTCTTGACATTAATTTAGAATGGTGTGATTTACATCTTGATTTCAAAGGAGGCGTGCCAAGGTAGGCGCGTAAAATTATGTTTTGAGCAGCCTCTACTGCCGCCCTGTGCGAGAATCAACGATGATGTTTTTCGCGATGCCTTCCGACTGGTCTTGCGTGTCTCTTGCTCGTTTTTATACGATGTAGTGCTCTTGCGTTTGTTTTCAATTTGCTCTTCGTCCTAGAGTTCCTTTCTTCCCGTCGCTGCCTCGGCAAGGTTTTGCGTAGGCATGACCCATAGCTAGGGAGGGGGTCTTTCTAGCGAGCAGGGCTAGACTCACCCTCAGGGGACCGATACCTTCTTGCTGCGGCGCACCCGCCGCGAGGCGTGCGTAGTGGTGGAGTTGGGTCGGCACTGGTGCGTCAGGTACAAAGGTGCAGATGCGCGGGCCTCCAGACCGTCGGTGTAGGCAGCAATTCCCATCTCATCTTTGTGCGCGGAGGCAGACGTCATCAGAAAGGTGGACGGGCACTATGTACACGGCCCTAGGTTTGCTAGAGGGAGCTGTACTGTCTCAGTAACCTGGTTTTGCCATCAAAGGAGGAGGGGACAGGTGGTGACGAGCTGATTGGGCTGGTTGACCCTTCGGCGCGAGAATCTTCAGAACGAGAACCCTAAGTGCAACGAGGGAGAAAGCGAGGAACCGACTGGGAAGGACAGCAACGAGAGCGTGTACGAAGCGGAGCGGGTTGAGTTTGGTCGTGCTAGGACTGGCCACAGCGGCACCGGAGCAGCGGTACCGGAGCAGCGGCACCAGAGCAGCGGCACTGGAGCAGGCGGACGGCATCGAACCGTGGCGCACGGACGAACATCTCTTGTATTGTCAATTATTTTTCCGTTTTTTTTTTCCTGAATACAGGTGTTGGGTGTTTGTAATGACGTCACTGGTTTTGTAGAGAGACGCGGCAGAGATGGCGCGGATAACCCGGGTGCCTTGATTGTGTACCTGCATCGTGGAAGACCCCTTCAATGTGGAACGATTCCTAGTCAGTGTCGATGTTTACACTGCTGTGCCTAGCACAGATGATCTGGATGGATTCGGGTGATTGTCAATTGCAATGATGACTTTGGTTGGGCGTTCTTCTTCATTGTGTGTCCACAGACTCATTCTGACAGCACTTCAGACAGCAGCTCCATGCCCCGAGCTTGTGTAGCATGCACCCATGGGTGTTATTATTGTACAGACAGCACTTCAGACAGCAGTACGCTGTAGTCGACAAACTTTCATTTTGGTAAAATGCGGGACAAGGGGGCTGATGCTGCTGCTGTAGTCGATTTGTAGTGTGTGGGCGTGTAGTTCAGTTGTGAGCACGCAATCGTGCTGCAGGAATTGCAGGTGTCCCTTCTCGGGCTTGCGTACCCTTTCCTTGCTAATAGTGTGTGTGTTCTTTAGATCTTCTGATGGCTCTATCATTTTTGTGACCACGGACCGCGTCTTCGCTAGATTTTGGGATTAGCAACTGCACGAGTTTAATGTGAAGAAAACAACAACTTGAAGTAACCATCAATAGTCTATTTTTGTTCTGGAACCCCTTCAAGTACTCTGCACATAGGCTAGGTGTCATAAACGTTGCTGTCATCACTCTCCTCTTGCATATCAGTTGCTTTGACGCTCAGAGTCAGAGATTGGGTGTTGGAAACATGTCTGGACATGACATGTGTGCACTGCTGTTCATGTACAGCAGTGTAAGTACAACAGCACAGCAGTACGAGGTACTGTACCTTTCAGAAACAGCACCGAAGGATTACTACAGATAACACCTGTCATAAATCTGGACGCAATCTCTCAGGCGGGAGGGTGCACGTGGCAGCGTACATCATTCCTCGATCACTCGACATGACGCTATTTTCATACTGCCGTACGTGCGAAACGGCGGCAATGCGCGTGCTTGCCTGCGGGATCGTGATGTTGCTCCATCGCACCACCGTTTTGTGCTGCACCACAGTCAGTGCGCCGAGGATGGATCGCCAATTGATTCCTGCAGGTGGTACTTACAAAATGGATTTGTGGTTGACAACGCTACCGTTGTCTGCACTCGACGGCCAGTCAGTCAGTGCCAGGTCTTATGGCACAGCGCAGAGCACAGCGGCTTGCTCGTGGACTACGACGTGAATCCGAGGCGTTACTTTGCAGGGGTGGAACATCATGTTCTTCCCACGGCGAAGGAACGGAATCAACTTGCTATCTCTCGTTGGCGAGTTAATGTTGCCTTATCGCCAGAATCCACCTGTAGATAGGGGTGTCCAAAGCACAACACTTTTGTAGACACGACGGTGAAAAGACCCACTCAGAAGCAACAGTAGTCACGCCATGTGTACTCTTATGCATAGATAGGTAGGGGCGATCTTTCTAAAAAAAATTAACGGGAGACAACAGGGCGAAAAAAAGGCCCCCGGAGGGTAGTTTCTGGTGATGCGATGCACCTGCTGTCCAACACAAGACAGCGCGGAACACCCTGACCCACACGATATCGGAACTCAACCCGCCGGCAACCCCAACACTAGCACCACAACACCAAACCAAGCGTATAGATACAGAGTCTGCTACAGTCCACGTAGGCATAGACCTATGTATACACGGGTGGCCAACACACCGGGTGGTAGGGGCACTTTTGGCAACAACCTGGATCGAGATTTATTTTGGCACGAGTTTCAATCAACCTCCCCACCTTGGGTAATCCTCACAATGCAACGATGGCCAGGTTGTGCAAGGTATACCTTTCTTTGGAGGTTGCGCGTTGTTTACAAGTCGAACAGGGGGCAGGTTGCCGATGGTAGTGCAAGGTGTACC